CAGCAAGCTAATTTTTCAAGCATTGTGCTTTCATGGAATATGTAACAATATCTGTTAATTGACAATATTTTATAGATGAATATCCTAAGTTGCATATTCAGTATTCAAAACAGATGAAGACCGATAGAACAAAGAGACACAATCAAAGAACCCACAGAGCCTTGAATACACTCCCCAGATATGGGGATATTTTAAAATACAATAAGAGCAATCATTTTAACTGTATGAATTTACTTTTAATTCATTTCAGATTAAATTAAGATTTCTACTTTATATTTATTTTTATTATCTTCTTTCTAGAATGTAGCCTTCATGTTTGCAAGTTCAAGCATAATTTTGATACCAAAAGTGTCAGAAACAATTGACACCAACTTGTCATTTTGTTTGTGAGATGGGCAGTTATATAAATTTGACAAATAAATGAATGCTTCCTGCCTAGAGATAGTCTGGTAATGAAGGCAGCATTCAAATCAATCAGTAAATTACATCTCCACTTATTTATCCTGGCAAAAGTATGACAGTATCTTCAGGATTGTTTTTAACCTTTTGGTCTGGGTTATAATTTTGGGATTTCCTGGTAGACTTCAACCCAAATAGTAAGCTAGTCTTATTCTGCTGTGTGCTGTCACAATGCGGTAAGTCAAGCTATGGCTTATCCTTAGCTTACAACCACAATTAGTCTTGAAGTTCCACAACTTATGTTGTGGTCATAAGATAAGTTGGACCAAATTTTACAACAATTTTATGGTTATTGCTAAGTAAAGACAATTCAACACGGTCATTAAGCGTTGTTAAGTGAATCTAGCTTTACTAATGGGAGATTGTGATCACATGACGACAGCAAATGCAGCAAATAGTTATAAATGTGAGCCAGTTGCCAAGTGCCCAAATTGCAGTCATGTGACTGTGGGATTGGTGATGATCATATGTACAAATAGAGGTCATAAATCTTTTTCCCCCCAAGGAGTTTGTAACTTTGAACCATAGTTAATCGAACTGTCGTAAGTCAAGGGCTACCTGTATAGTCTTGGGAACTATATGGAAATAGCTATTTGTTTAATCAACAGTGTGACTTTAATTTGCTCTCTTCTAGGATTTTTTTTTTTCTAGTAGTCCTGGAATTTCCTGGTGGTCTCATATCCCTGGTGGTCTCATATCCCATGACTCTGCTTAGCTTTTTCAAAATCACCCAAGTGTGCTAGGCTCTTATTTGCTTTCAAAGTTCTGAAAAATCTTAGCAAATAAAGAGAATGGTGAAATAATAGAGAACTAAATTATTTTAACAAAGCTTTGTGGAGCTGACATGTGACAATCTGTCTGTTTGATGATATATGCATATTTTAATATCTGGGCATTTAATAGGAGACATCACAGTCCACAGTTTGAAGCAGGGATGGGTTCTACTTACCTTTACTACCGGTTTGCAATGGGATTGCACCCGTGCGCGCGAAGCTAGGTGATTTCATTTTAATACAAACATGCAGTTTTCATTTAGACATATTTGGAAAATCATTGGGATCTTAATGTTATTTACTAAATGTGTAAGCTGATAGTTGCAAGAAGAAAGCCAAATCCAATTATTATAGGTTTGTTTGTTTGTTTGTTTGTTTTTACTATCAGTGGCTTTGGATTAGAGCTGAAATTACTTACATGGCATTGTCTCTCAGAGATAATCCAAACTTCCTGGCCTATACAAGGTTGCTCTGCAGATAATGATATAGTGAATACTTGCTCTTGGGTCATTTTAGAGCCATTAAAGAAATAAGATAAGTATATGTGTTTCATATTGTGATTCACACTGTGAATTGAATTAGAAATCAGTTTGGTATTTTCTATATTCATTAAATAAATTGGCACAATTGCAGTAAAACTAATATCCCAAAGAAGATACTTCGATTTAAAATGGTTTAGCATGGCTTGCATATCAATGATTTAATGGATTAATGGAATGCCATTAATGGAATGTCAGATATCCCTGTTTGGTCTGTTAATTCAAGATTTTACTTTAATAGTATAGTTAACAGAAATGTTAAATGAATTGTAATGAGAATTTACTAACTCTGATCATAGTTTGCCTCTTTACTGCTATATTTAGAAAATTTGAAAAGCCTTCTTCAGGTTGAGCTTCACTGGTGACTATGGTCTTACCTCTAAACATTTCTTTTTCCCTTTCTCTCTCTCTCTCTGTCTCCCAATCCTTCCCTCCCTCCCTCTCTCACACACACATTTCATTATAACTGTCCACACTAAATCTATGCCTACAAGCAACTTGTTCATAAGCTGCAAGTAACCTCAAGTCTTCAATACACTGAGTGATCGGGGGTCTTAAAATTAGTTTTCATTACTGACATTATTTTATTAACAGTAACAAGGACACAACTGACCTACTTCTATTCTCAAGCAGTCAGTTTCCATTTAGTAGGTACAGGTAATTCTCAATTTACAATCATAATTGGAATTGGAATTTCGATCCCTAAGCGATACCAGTCATTAAGCAACTCATCATGTAACCAGACCTGAATTTAAGACCATTTTTTACCATGGCTGTTAAATGAATTATATTAGTTGTTAAGTAAATCATGTCATGATTTACTCGATCACAAAATGCTGCAACTATTGTAGAGATTCTCAATCATCCAGGTCATGGTTGTCCCAAAGGTGCTTTTTCAGGAGGCAACTGGACTTTCTCCAGTTGTCCAGTTGCCTCCTGAAAAAGCACCTTTGGGACAACTGTTGTAAATGTGAGCTAGTTGCCAAGTGCCTGAATTATGATTGTGTGATCATTGGGCTAGCCCAGAGGTGGGCAAATGTGACCCTTTTACAACCTGTGGACTTCAACTCCCAGAATTCCTGAGACAGCCAAGCTGGTTCAGGAATTCTGGGAGTTGAAGTCCACAGGTTGTAAAAGGGCCACATTTGCCCACCCCTGGGCTAGTGCAATGGTTGGAACTTGGAGGACTTGTAAGTCACTTTTTCTAAGGCCATTGTAACTTCATTGTTAAATGAAAAGCCATAAATCAAATACTACCAGTACTTGCATGTAGTTGAAAAAAAAAAAAACCACAGATCTCTGCAATTATACCTTCTGTAATTTCTTAACCTTGATTTTTATGACAGTATCTTGTTTAAGTACTAACCGGATCTGACCCCGTTTAGCTTTTTGAAATCAGTCTCCATTTTAGTTAATTGTTCAGAGTAGTTTTTTTTTTTCTTTAGGATTAATGTGAGCCACACACTTGCATATATCCTATTCTTTCTTTTCAAATGTTCTTCCTTTTCAGAACCTTCTTGATTTTTTTCAGGGTTTCACTGGATCGCATGAGACATGTTTCATTTATGTTTCACAAGACTTGTATTTTCAAAAAGAAATTGCAACTCTAAAGTGGTCGATAATAATAAAAAAAAGGGAGAAGGTTTTTACACCATGCCATGCCTTGACTTGTCAGGCTTTTTCCCTAAAACTGTTTATGCAGAAGGAAAGCTGTATCAATAGCTACTTTTTTTCCTGACACAATACTAGCTTTGAGAAAGAAGTTTTCAAAAGGAGCCTGGCACAAAGAAAAAGTATTAATCTTCTTCCTACATACTGTAATCGAATCTTTTTATCTCCATGACTGCTACTTCTTTACAAGCAATAACACATTTCATAATTATGTAATTCCCTCTCATTATCTTGTTTTTGAGTACATTGGAGGGACACGCTGTGGTTAGCAAGGGTATACAGGTAGTCCTCAATTTACAACCACAATTGAGCCCAAAATTTATGCTGCTAAGTGAGAAATTTCTTAAGTGAGTTTTGCCCCATTTTACGACTTTTCTTGCCACAGTTGTTAAATGAATCGCTGCAGTTATTAAATTAGTAACACAGTTGTTAAGTGAACCTGGCTTCCCCATTGACTTTGTCAAAAGGTCACAAAAAGTGATCACATGACCCTGGGACACTGCAACGTCATAAATATGAACCAATTAGCAAGCATCCAAATGTAAATCACATGACCACGGGGATAATGTGATGGTCATAAGTGTGAAAAATGGTCATAAGTCACTTTTTTCTGTGCCATTGTAACTTTGAATGGTCACTAAGTGAACTGTTGTAAGTCGAGGATTACCTGTATATAGAAAAAGGATCTGAAACCAGGATAACAGCATGTCTTAGAAGTTTGGATATATAGTGTGATTTGGTTTGGATTTGTATTCATGTACAGTGTTCCTTTAATATATTTTCCACAGTTCTTATTACTGCATTTCTCTACATTATTCCAGAGAACATGGCTGTTGGATGTGAAAAAGAGAGCTTGTGTAAAGTAATTTGCTTATTGGAAGCAAAATTGTCAATCATCAAGTTGCTTTTTCCTTTTTGTTATTGGACTTTATTCTTTGCCTCATTTTTTCTTAGAGAGGCCTTACATTGTGTGAGGTCCACATGCCTATCAGCTTGGACATACAAACAAATTATAGGCTAATGTCTTTAACCATAAGCCTCTTTAGTTGGGATGATTACAGAAAATGCTTGCCAAATTTAATGAGTGGCTGAAACAGAATGAAGTGGTTATCTTCTTTCAGATTATAATAAGAAATAGCATATTTTTAAATTCAATTTATTGGACAAGCACTAATTGAGATTTGCCAGTTTGGTTATTTTAGCACAATAGTATTAAAGTTAATAGAAATAGAAGAAAAATTATGCAAAAGAATAGCTATGAAATATGTGAATGTACAGTTTGATGACAACTGTCTGAACTATAATGTTCAGACAGTTGTCACCAACTGTCTGAACATTATATAACCCAAAATATGAGATACAAAGAATAAGCCAGCAGAACAAAGCTTAACATAATGTATGAAACAAACTGTGCTCAATAAATTAGCCTCTTATTGATCAGTAGTAATGTTGATATTAACTCTGCTTTACTGATTTTGTTAGTTTACATTTTAGTCATTCAAATTTCTTTACAGATCATGTCTTGCATGAAATTTATTGTTTGTTTGTTTGCTTTCAGGAAATGGGTCTTGAAAGTTAATGAGTCTGGATAAGTCGCATCAATGTGGAAGCATCGGCTTCATACGTTTTAGGGACAGATCTCTGGTACACTCAAGAATAAACAAAATCCCTACCAGAATTGCTGCATTTCATAATGAAGAAAATTAGTCTCAAGACCATTCGTAAATCTTTTAACTTAAATAAAAGCAAAGATGACAGTGACTTTGTTGTGGTTGCACAGCCATCATTAAATGATTTTGGAAAAGATGACTCCTTGTTTGCTAGCTGTTATAGTAAAGATTTGGCTACCTGTGACATCAACGGCGAAGATGAGAAAGGTGGCAAAAACAGATCAAAGAGCGAAAGCTTAATGGGTACATTAAAAAGACGACTTTCTGCAAAACAGAAGCAAAAAGGTGGAAAGGGCAGCACGCCATCCGTGAGCTCTGCTGATGAAGATACCTTTTCTTCTTCTTCTGCTCCAATAACTTTCAAAGATGTAAGAGCTCAAAGACCTCTTCGGTCCACATCCCTCCGAAACCACCATTATAGTCCAACACCATGGCCCCTTCGGCCAACAAACTCAGAAGAAACATGTATAAAAATGGAAGTGAAAGTAAAGGCCTTGGTCCACTCTACAAACCCAAGCCCTGCACTGAATGGTGTGCGCAAAGATTTCCATGACTTGCAGCCAGACAGCAGGTTCCATGAACAAAACAGTGCATTCAAAAGTGCAGAATCTCAGAATGGAGATTTGCATCTTCATATTGATGAACACGTGCCTGTAGTTATTGGACTTATGCCTCAGGACTACATTCAGTACACTGTGCCTTTAGATGAGGGAATGTATCCTTTGGAAGGATCACGTAGTTACTGTCTGGATAGTTCCTCACCCATGGAGATCTCAACTGTTTCTTCTCAAATGGGTAGTAGTACATTTCATGAAGAAGAGGTTTCAGTGAATCAAGACGTAGTAGTTGCTCCGGATATCTTTGTGGACCAAGCAGTAAACGGTTTATTGATTGGTACAACAGGAATCATGTTGCAAAGTCCAAGAGTTAATGATGTTCCCCCACTCTCGCCATTGCTACCTCCAATACAGAATAATCAAATCCAAAGGAACTTTAACAGCCTGAATGGCACAGATGTCCATGTGGCTGAAAGTATGCGCTGCCATTTGAATTTTGATCCTAACTCTGCACCAGGAGTTGCAAGAGTCTACGATTCTGTACAAAATAGTGGCCCGATGGTTGTAACAAGTCTCACAGAGGAACTTAAAAAACTGGCAAAACAAGGATGGTACTGGGGCCCGATCACACGATGGGAAGCAGAGGGGAAATTAGCTAATGTTCCCGACGGTTCATTTCTTGTGCGAGACAGCTCTGATGACCGTTACCTTTTAAGTCTGAGTTTCCGTTCTCATGGTAAAACACTTCATACTAGAATTGAGCATTCAAATGGTAGGTTTAGCTTTTATGAACAACCTGATGTGGAAGGACATACTTCTATAGTTGATCTAATTGAACACTCGATTAGGGACTCTGAAAATGGTGCATTTTGCTATTCGAGATCTCGATTACCTGGATCTACAACTTACCCAGTGAGACTAACCAATCCAGTATCTCGTTTCATGCAAGTGCGTTCCTTGCAGTACCTGTGTCGCTTTGTTATACGTCAGTATACCAGAATAGATCTGATTCAGAAACTGCCTTTGCCAAACAAAATGAAGGATTATTTACAAGAAAAGCACTACTGAAGGCTTATGGGAAACTTGCAGTTTGCACTTTGGGAATAACAACAACAACAACAACAAAAAAGAGTGGTTGATACACAGTTTACAAACTTAATTATTACTAGGGTTTTTTTGCTGCCATAATTTCATTTTTGTGCATAAAGAAGAGTAATGCATTTTGAGTTTAATGGATATTTGGGGGTTTTCTTTTTTTAAAAAGATAAAGGGTTTTTTAGAAGAGTAAAATAACTATCTTTCATTCAGTGTGCAAAATAATCGCAATGTGAATGATAAATATTGTCCTTAAACTCCCCATCTCCTTTGCTGCTAATCCACTGTGATTTTTATGCATTTGAAGCACATTTCATGTGTTTTCAACCATAAGTAAAAAATTGAAACTTGATGGGATATACTTTGTCGTTTTCAAATAGTCTGGGATTATTATTTTTTTTGTTCTTAATTTAAAAAAAAGTTTGGGGTAAAATATACTGGTGTACCGAACTTGGATACATGCTTAAAACAATTCCCTAATATCTAATTAAAAACATATAACTGTGGGTTGGAGGCAATATGTGATCCAATACAGTTATGCATCATACATTTTGAAAGCTTCCTTTCTCCTAAGCAGTTCCATTATTGCAAATGTTGCTTTGTTTCTTTTGTTCATTCTTAAGCATTTTTAAATTTGAAAATAGCCTTTGAAAAATATCTGTAAAATGAATACTGGAAGTCATTAATAATATTCAAGCAAAAAGCTAAATATACTTAAAACATTTAAAAAATTTTGAAGGGATTATAGAAATCTGATTTAAATAAAACTATTCAGGTAATTTCAGAACTGTGAGATTTGTCTCAACTGAAATTTTTAAAAATTATGTAGCATTGAATTTAAAAATTCAGGTAGTCCTCAACTTACAACCATTTGTTAAGCAGCCATTTGAAGTTATGACCCTGAAAATCCTGACTTACAACTGGTCCTTGAAGTTAGGACCACTATAGCATCCCCATGGTTACATGATCAAAATTTGGTTGCTTGTCATGTATTCACGACAGTTGGCGCACCCTGGGGTCATGTGATCACCATTTGGGACCCACCCAGCTAGCTTGACAAGCAAAGTCATGGGGGAAGCCAGATTCAATTAATGACCACATGGTTCACTTAACTGCAGTGATTCTCTTAATAACCGTTGCAAAAAAGATAATGAGATTGGGCGGAACCACAACCTCACTTAGTAACAGAAATTCTGATTCCAATTGTTGTCAATTGAGGACTACCTGTATCCTGTAATTACTACAGCAATTGGACCTTAAATAGCTCATCTTAACGGGAATTTAAATTCCATTAATTTCCTTGGATGAGATAACCACATGTATAATCTTTTCCCATGGAAAATGATGAGATTATGAAGTACTTAACCTTGAAAGAATATGGCCTCAGTTTTAAATGCGCTTTCCTTTATTGTTCGGCATTAATTTGCCATCATTATAATTTAGTTTAATTGGCAAGTGAAGAGAACCTAAATTAACCCCCAAATATTATTCTTTAAATAAAAATGCACATTTTAAAATTAAAGACAGTGACATTAAATAGCAAAATAGTCACCATAGGAAATATTCAAGTGCATTACCACTTTCATTTCTACAAATTCTTATTTGAAAAAAAGGAAAATCCATACAATTTTGGATACTTGTAATGGGATAATCTGTCAGGAACAACAGGATTTCCATAGCCTCCGTATATTGTTTTCTCTCACTTTAGTGGGGCCTGCATAGGAGAAATTCCCAATGAATTCGAAGGCCTATAAATGAGACTGTTTTACAGCCTGGACCCAGTCTTGACAAACACCTTCACCTCTTTTGATGAAAAATTGGGGAAAGTTGATGTTAATTGGCTCCATTGCCTTCAGTAGGCTTTAAGTCTGATGGTGTTGTTTTGTGTACGTTTTTGTAGGAAAAAAATGCCAATAGGTTTATAAAGAAATTACAGCCTAACTGTTTAAAAATATTTGTGGTCAAAAGACTATTTCTGCAAGTTGTTCCATGATGAACATTATACTGTGGAAGCAAAGTATTCTTATGTTTATAAGAGTTTCTGTGAACCAAAATCTTAACAAATAGGAAACTGTATTCTGAAATTTCTGAATAAAATCATGCAATTTGAGAGAGTGGTTTTAAAGTTACAGAAATTAGTTTGTGCCACTGCAATGTGTCTTTCATTCCCCCCCCCCCCATTTTTCTCATTTGAATACTGAATATTTTGCTGATTATTAAAACATTTAAAGGGTGATGAAAATTTGAGAAATCTTTATTTTGGGGTATTTCACTCTTGCTTCTTCTACCTGTTTTGTGGTTTTTCTGAATGAATTTATACAATTAATATATGAAGGTGCTGCAGTGGCCTGACATCTTGGGGTTGTGTGAGTCAATATGCTAAATTTCTATTTTTTAAAAAAATATTTTTTAGATCGTAATGTTTAAGAGAGTATCACAGACAAAGTATGTCTTTTGCTCTGGGATATAGAGGGGGAAACAGCTCTCTTACCAAGTTACAGAATAATAGATTTTGAAAAATAAATTATATGAAGAGAGATGTTCTTAAATTCCTGGGCAAATTTTTTCTATATATGTGTGTATCTTGGCTTTGCCATTCTGATATTTATGCAAAATCTTCATTTTTGTTTATTAATTTTTACTCCCAAGCAAGATTACAAATTTTATATATGAAAGGCACAATGATATATGATGGTACCATGTTTTGCCTAATGAAGAAAAGGAATTTTTTTTTCTACAATAGGAAAGTACATGTGAGAGTAAAATCCTTGTCTCTAAGATATGTCAAATAAAGGACTGTTTAATTAGTGGTAGACGAAGAAAGTTCTCTGGAGTAACTAATGTATATTATGATAAAAAGTGTTTAAAGTCCCAGTGTTTAACAAAGAATGATATGAGGGACTATGATGGTATTACAATTCCATATTTAGATTTTTAATAACCCAGTCATATTTCTGGATATATGGTAGACACTGAACCTGCTTGCTACAGTTGTCGCCATCTTTTTACATCTTCAGTTCATTAATATTTAAAATACGTTCTTGTATTGCACGCCTAGTCTATCCCTCAAAGAACAAACAAGTTTTTCTCATTATATAGAACTAGGAAAGACACCATATCAGAGGTGAAATGCTACCGGTTTGGATTGGCTCAGGCGAACCCGTAGTAATAAAACCTACCAGTTTGGGCAAACCGGTATTTCTGACGATCATCTGTGTTGAGTGATTTATATTCACTAGAAAGCAGGAAATCCTGCTTTCTAGCGAATCTTAAATCGTGTGGCACAGCTGTCCTCCCCACTCGCTGTTCTACTTACTTTAGAAAGGCTTCTTAAGCCTCCTTTTTCAGCGCTGTACAGTAGCGCCTGTGATGTGCATGTGTGTGAAGTGTGTGTTGGGTGCACACTGTGCATGCACATGTGCGTGCACAGAGTACCGGTAGCAGACCTCTGAGCATTTCATCCCCGCACCATACATTAACAAAACGTCATGTGAAGGTTACATTAGTAACCTTTCTGTCTGTCATTCATTTTCCAGAGAGCAGACTGGAGTAGCTACAGCCAATGTCATGCACTAGTCCCTCATTCACTGAACAATAACAAATAAAACCAACTGCAGGAATGAGCCTTGAGCCACCTGCATTTGGCCAAGCAAGAATTGTACATCAGTAGGACCAGATCTATTTTGTTGTTCTAGGCCAGGGGTGTCAAACTTCCGGCATCACATCGTCGCATGACGTATCACAACTTTTTCCCTTAGCTAAACCGGGGTGGGCATGGCCCACTCATGACGCATCTGGCCCGCTGGCTGCAAGTTCGACACCCCTGTTCTAGGCTGATGAACAGCCTAGCAAAAGCAATGCTATCTTTGTTTTCTGCTATGGTTGGCTATGGCAGCGACTGGTTAGGTAGAAGGTTGGGAAACACTTTAGAAGTAATCCACATAGCTCTTCTGGGCGGCAGCTCTGTAAGGTAGTAAGACAAACAGCTATTGATAATTGCTTTGAACATCCTAATCTTCACTGTGCCAATTAAGACCTCTGCTGTATCTCTCTCTCTTGTGTCAATAAGTGGTATGTTGCACATTAGATTAAAAAAAAAAGAATACCTGTTTACAAAAAGTGCTGCAATGAAATGGTATTTTTCTCTCAAATATTACATCGCTTGAGCAAACACGCAGGTCATGTTGGAGAACACATAAGCTGTTACATGTTTATATTTAGTACATTTTAAGAAGAAATGTTTATATATAAGAAAATGGGCACCCTCAAAATGGGAAACCTTAGTTGCCTAACATTTCTTGCAACACAATGAGAAATTTAGATTCTATGAAAGTTTTTATGCTATTGAAATGTTGACAGAAGAAACAAGTCCATTCTGACTATTGATATAAACCTAAATTTAATTAATTTTTAAAAAATTACTATAACCTGCATGTTAGCCTAATTTAAGTTAATAAATGCAATTGGAAAATATTAGTAACATAATTTTAAAAAATCACTGTTAATCAGTAGATTAACAGAAAAATAACAAAAAAATCACTGTTACAAAGTTAATCACTTTTTAATGAGAGCTGCGCTAAAAAAAAAAAAGCCTACAGTGATCAATTTTTGTAGATTTTGAGAGAAATAAATGGCCAAGTCAGCCTACATGCACACCAATAGTGGGTTTCACTTACCTTTGCTACCGGTTCGGAACTCTGAACGTGCACATGCGTGCACTTGCTTCGCTCACGTGTGGCGCTTCTGCGCATGCACAGAGCATCCGTGATGATGTCCAGTTCAGGCGAACCATCGCTACCGGTTCGCCCAAACTGGGATGAACCAGTAGAAACCCACCACTGATGCACACTTAGGTAGAAGAATTCAGATTGATTTCAAAAATAAGAGATCTTTCTTTAAAAATCTTTTAATAGATTAAATTGTTAGAAGCAACAGATATTTTCAGTGTTGCTGAGATATTTCTTGTCTGTCTTACCTAGCTATTATCTAATAAATTAGAAAATAATTTTGAGTTAAAATTTTTCAGAAATAGCATATGCAAGGCAATAGAGATGAAAAGCTGATCTATCTAATCTATCAGGGAGAGAGAGTGTGTGTTATATATACTTATCAGTGAGGCAGAAATTCTGGCACATTGCTTCATGGACAAGCAGCAAGTTTCTGTTTCTCTTCATATATATATTGGCCAATGCTTTACATTTGGTCTATAAATAGAGCGCCATAGTCTCAAACATTACTTGTTTCAGTACTTAACCCAAACCACACCAAGGGATATTTTGTATTGTCTATTCGTGAGGCAAACATACAAACTTAATCCATAAATCTTACACACCAAGTATAAGACTGCTTTTACATGCAGCTCATGCCTTCTCTGATTATCAGCACTGGACATAATGTCTTACAGGAATTCATTGAACAGAGCCAAAACAATGGTTTTCATATTTCAAGGATCTTGTAACACAGCTTGTAAAGAGCATCATGATAAACTTCAAAGGATGTTTCACCTAAACCTGGGTCTTTGATGTGGGGAATTTCCATTTTTCCAATGGAAAATCTTACGTATCTTACAATTGGAATTAAAAGTAGTGAAGATCACAATATAACATCTGTAACTGCAAAAATAGCACTTGCCTTTTACAAAGCAATTTCTTTTAGATTGGATTATTCAAGAGAAACGGAATGCAAGTTCCAGCTACTATTATCAGTAAATTTATTATCAGATAATTTACTATTATCCCTAAATTTACTTCTTAGATCATTGAGTAGAAAGGAAGTTTGATAAGAGTTGGAGATTCAGATGATGTTTAGAAATATTTTTTCATATAAGTTTTGAATAATGATCACATACCCTTAATTTTTCCCAAGTGATCTTCTGGAAAAAGGGATTAAAATGGAGCTTTACTTATCCTGTGGTCAATATTTAGTTCTGAAGATAAAATCTTGTAAACCCAAGAATGGGATTTTTTTTAAAAGCCAGAGGTATCTCTATTGTTCATCAAGGTGCTTATCTCCTTATGAAGCCTAATTGGTGAATTTTACAAAACATGCTGTTTTTCAGAGAAATGCATTTCTTAATTTGTAAATATTGGAATTGTTAAATAAAACCAAAATACCAGCAATATACTGACTGTGAATTCCAGTAAGGAATGGTCTTCAGAAATTTTTTAATAAGCTAAAAGATTATTACATCAGCAATCACTAGTATTGTAAAATGTTATAAAATGTGAATTAAACATTTGTTGACAAAAATTGGGATAGTTCCTAAAAAAACTACTGTAAAGTTTGAAGTATTTGGAAAATGATCCAAACTCTTTATCCAATAATGGGGTGGGAGGGGGAATTCTTATCACATTTTGTATTACTGTGTACTGGGGGGGAAATTTTATAGTGGTGGTGGAGTGCCATGAAAATAATACTTAAAATCCAGATTGCTGTAGTTTACACTTTTCTGTATGTTTCAATAATGTGTGCACTATTTGTATTAAGCACACAACAGAATGAATTATCCAAAGTCCATTGATTTTAAATGTGTTTTGGTTTGTTAAAAAGATTATAGTAATTTCTTGCACATTTTTTGAAAAAAATTGTATAAGAATTTATGTATCTGCTTCTAGATACAGTGTGTAAATAAAAAAAAACATTCACAAAAATCTTTGGTGGATATTTTAATGAAATGTCAAAGATTGCATAGGCCCCTCCTCTCCCTCCCATAAATGGCGGGGAAAAAATTGTTCTGCTTCACAATGGATTTATTTAATGAATTTTAACCTCTATGCAGATTCTTAGTATCCTAGAGAAATTGTGGCATTAAAATTATGACAAAAATAGAGCCGTTTCACAAAACCCGAAAAGAAAAGTTTGGAGATTCTGCAGTGTGTGAGCCAAATTCAATTTGTTAGGGCTTCATTCTTAGCTGGTTTTATTTTACTCAGCATGACTTGGAGCCGGGGGGGGGGGCGCTACCCAGGATTTCTGCTACTGGTTCGGGAGAACCCATCCGAACCAGCTGAATACCACCTCTGCCAACTCTGTAAATCACTTTGAGAGGGATGCAGAGCACTGTGAAGCAGAAGTAAGTCTAAGGGCTCTTGCTATTGCTATTTATTGAGA